CCGACCCCAAGAATCGAACACGCGACCTCCCACATGGAAGTTGAACGCTCAACCAAACGGCTAAGCTGAAGGGAAAAAGCAGAGGGGAAAAAAAAAAAAAAAAAAAAACAAGGGAGATGGGAGGAGGGGAAGCGGAGAGAGAGAGGGAAAGGAGTAGACAGGACGGAAGTGGAACGCTCAACCAAACGGCTAAGCTGAAGGAAAAAAGCAGAGGGGGAAAAAAAAAAAAAAAAACAAGGGAGATGGGAAGAGGGGAAGAGGAGAGAGAGAGGGAAAGTAGTAGACAGGGCGAGGAGAAGAGAGGAGAAGAGAGAACGAGAGAGAGGGAGAGGAGAGGAGCGGAGAGAGAAGATACCATAGCTGAGGGGAACAGGAGAGAGAGAAATTAGATAGGGAGAGGAGAAGAGGAGAAGAGAGGAGGGGAGACAGAAGATACCATAGCTGAGGGGAAGAGGAGAGAGAGAGAAAGTAGATAGGGAGAGGAGAAGAGGAGAAGAGGAGAAGAGGAGAAGAGGAGAAGAGAGGAAGAGGAGAAGAGAGGAGAAGAGAGAGAGGGACAAGGAGAGGAGAGGAGAGGTGTAAGGATCGAGAGAAGACACCATAGCTGACAAGCTGAGGAGAGAAGAAGAGAGATGCAGAAAAAGCAGATGCAGAAGACAAGGTGAGCAGTGCGGCACCACTCTCCTTGCATTTGGACGCTTTCTCGGACCGATACATTCGAAACGTTGCCTACTCGTCCGAATGCACTACGTACGTAGCCGCACAACTGTGTGACACGGCAAACCATTGTGGGAGGTCGCGTGTTCGATTCTTGGGAGCAATCCCGAATCAAGGCTCTCTTCTCCTCTCTTCTCCTCTCTTCTCCTCTCTTCTCCTCTCTTCTCCTCTCTTCTCTCTTCTCCTCTCTTCTCTCTTCTCCTCTCTTCTCTCTTCTCTTCTCTTATGCGAGAGTCGAATAGAGGGGGAGCAAAAGTGGCAGAGAGAGAAACAGATGAAACAAGAGGAGGTGGTGGACTCGGACTGAAGCACTCGCATCGCGTATGAGGAGAGGGAGAGAGAGAGAGAGAGAGAGAGAGAGAGAGAGAGAGAGAGGGAGAGGAGAGGAGAGGTGAGAAGGTGATGGAGAGAGAGAAGACACCATAGCTGACAGACTGATGGGAGAAAGAAAGGAGAGCAGAGTAGGGAGCAACAAAGGCGACAGAGAGCAAAGGCGAGAGAGCAGAACGGAGAGAAGGCGATCGAGAGAGAGAGAAGACACCATAGCTGGCAGACTGATGGGAGAAAGAAAGCAGAGCAGAACAGAGAGCAAAGGCGACAGAGACCAGAAGAGGTGGTAGTAGACTTGGACCGACACATGCGCAACGCCCTTTCACTTCCTCCCCCCCCCCCCCTCTCTCTCTCTCTCTCTCTCTCTCTCTCTCTCTCTACACCTGGGATAACACCTGCAATCGACATACGAGCTCCGCCATGTAACAAATCTATTCGTTGGAACAAAACGAAACTGAAAAAGAAAGAGAGAGCACCAAAAGAGGACAGCAGAAAAGTCCCTTGTCCATCGCTCCGCATTCTCTTCTTCTTCTTCTTCTTCTTCTTCTTCTTCTTCTTCTTCTTCTTCTTCTTCCTCTTCTTCTTCTTTTCGGTTACCTGAAGACTCACATGCCATTCTTTTGTTTTTTCTTTTATTCGTCTTTTTTTCCGATTTTTTTTTTTTTTTTTCGTTTTTTTTTCGTTTTCTTTTTTTCGTCTTTTTAACACTTTTTTACAAAGTCCAGGTTGTTGTAGCGACTGTGTACCATGTCTCGTTTCCTAGAAGATCGCCGAAATCCGATCTCTCCATCCATCCCGACCGATCTCCCTCCATCCCGACGCCAGACCTTTGACCAAATCGAGCGCGCCTCTCCTGTGGAAAGCCCCCCGTCGATGATCGGATCCCAACCGATCGAAACGCGTCGGGATGGATGGAGATCGGTCGGGATGGATGGACATCGGTCGGGATGGATGCAGATCGGTCGGAATGGATGCAGATCGGTCGGAATGGATGCAGATCGGTCGGGATGGATGGACATCGGTCGGGATGGATGGCGATCGGTCGGGATGCACGGCTATGCCTTCAAAAGATCTTTCCAGGCGTGTACGAAAGCCACCCACCGAGGCTATGCCTTCAAAAGATCTTTCCAAGCGTGTACGAAAGCCACCTACCCCCCCCCCTCCCCCCCTCCCCCCTGTTTCACTATTCCTCTTGCCAGCGTCTGTTTCCTCCCATGACCGATCTCCGTCGATCCCGACGCAAGACCGTTGACCATATCAGGCCCTCTCGTGACCGACGACCGTCAATCCCGACGACAGACCGTTGACCAAATCGAGCGCCTCATTGATTTCTTCTCTTTTCTTTTCTTTTTTTTTTTTCTTTTTTTTAATTGCAT